AGTACCCTGAACATCTCCAGGTAAAGATGAGTTGTGTTGTGTAGGAGGATGGTTGACATGAAAATACTGTACGTACTCGGGATACAACACCAAACATTATATTGAAAGTACGACATTAAATGCTTTGGAACATGAAGGAATTAGCTGCTTAAATCAGTTTGGGGTATTTTTTTTATGTGGGGAAATAGATGGCAAGAAATTTTAAAATGTGTATACAGTAAAACCTCGATTAACCGACTTTCGGATGAACCGTCAATCCCGAGCTCCTAATTTTTTCCAATTTTTTTTTTTTTTTTTTTAAACCGGGATTAGCCCACCCTGGGATAGGCCACTGACCCACATCGGGGCCTGGGGGGGCGATAATGTAATAATATTGATAATAATAATAATAATAATAATAGTAATAAAGAACCATAAATAAATGCAAAAAATTAAAAAAAAAATCAAGAGTGAGAAACAATATATGTATGTTGTGTTGTCAATAGTAAGAGAAGCAATTAAGACCCTGCAATTGTGTGTAAATGAGGTAGAAAGTCAGATGAGCAACCTGGGACTTGGTCACAATTTTTGTGATGACATACCTGTATGTTCTTTGACTTTTCCATTTTTTATTCACGGTTTCTGTGCTGGTTCATATTTATTTACTTAAGTGGTTAATGTTTTAAAGCAAATTCTATTGAAATATGAATGGCAAATGAACAAAAATGAATAGAGGGAATTAAATGAGGTAGGTTACGGAAAGGTACTTTGAAAATGTATGTTTTATTTCCGTAGACTTTATGTACTACAGGTATTAACCAACCTTTCGGATTATCCGTCGGCCCCTTCCCCCCATATGTGGTCGGTTAATTGAGGTTTTACTGTATTACTCTAAAACTCCCTTAAAAAATTTATAAAACCAATGTTAGGCAAAGTACATATGGTAGCTACAGGGAGAGATTGAGGATTTGGATCAGTTTAAGATGTTGAGTAATTTTCCCCTCAAATTATGAAGTGACCTTAAAGAACTTTGGAGTTAACTGGTATTTTATGTCCAGTACTGCACCTTGTTCCTTGTATAGATGCCAACAAGACACTACAGTAGCACCTGAGCAACAACTATATCTGGTAGTCTTCTTACCTTGAAGGTGATTCTTATTTATATATTTATTATTATATTAGGTTTAAAATTATGATCTATTTACCCTTGCTGTGGCTGGGTAATTGTTTATTGACTTTTACAACTGTACTTTAACCTCTTCACTATGTGGATGTAACTTTTGATATTTTATTTGGCTAACAGCAGATGATTTTATTCAACGCAGAGAGGACCCTGTACTCAAAGGTAACATACAATTGTGGAAAATGGCCACAAGGTGATGATATATATATTTTTTTTTCTTCAGAACTGGTACAATGAGATAAACAAATGGCTTAAAGGTCAACTAAATGTTCTGGCGATTGACTCGGGTACAAAGAAGGAGATTGATTCCAACCTCAGGGGATTTATGATGACTTTTGGCCGGCGTCCCATCAACCCAGTACTGATAATATCCTACGAAACTTTTCGCTTGCACGCCCAGGTACTGCACCAGGGTGAAGTGGGCCTCGTGCTCTGTGATGAGGTAAAAGTGTTTGAGCTTCTTAGATGATAATGGGTGACGGTTTTTGAAGTAATGAAATCCCTTTACTAGGATGGAGATTTGTATTCTAGGGTGTTGCATATACTGTACATACTGTATATGAACCAGGTAAGAGAAAAATAATGGCTGACAAAATATTTATTCCAAACAGTTTCGGCAACAAATGTCGCCCTCCTAAATGGAGTGAAGAGAAAAGTTCCTTTTCTGTACCGAACTGTTTGGTATAAATCTTTTGTCTGCCATTGTGTTTTTTCTCTTGCATTGTTGTTCAGGTTATGGTGACTTTCCAGCCAATATGGAACCAAACTGGGTAAGAGTTAGGATTATTGGGGATTAGGAAATGAGAAAATTTATTGTATTTTAAGAATTGTATTACAGTATTGCCTAATGCAAGTCAGCTTGAACTGAACATCCTCAGTCAATAAATAATTTCCCTTATTCCTATTCTTAATGAACTTCTAACCCTACCTTTTTGGTTCTATGACACAACATCCTGTATAGTAGTACTGTACTGTATACTGTATAATATTTTATACAGTATATGGTTTCAATAGTCCTTATACTGTACTGTATATAATTTCTCATTGTATTATTTTTAGGGTCACCGACTAAAGAACTGTGAGAACCAGACTTACCAAGCACTGATGGGTCTGAAGGCAAAGCGCCGTGTCCTGCTTTCGGGAACCCCAATTCAAAACGATCTGCTTGAGTACTTTTCTCTCGTGCACTTTGTCAATGCAGGGATTTTGGGAACAGCTCAGGAGTTTAGAAAGAAATATGAAAGGCCAATCCTGAGGAGTCGGGATGCTGAAGCCTCCGACAAAGACCACGAGATTGGCAAAGAGAAGTTGGAGGAACTGATTGCTATAGTCAGCAGGTGATGAATTACTCTCTTCCTCTGTTTAGATATTCATTGTGAATGTTTCCTTGAGGGATTCACTGTGTAAGTTTCTCCATGTGAGAGGAAAGGTTTTTGTTACTGATGTGAGAAGTGTGGTGAATATGAAAGTGAAACATGGTCACATAAAGAGGAGAGGATGATATTCATAGACTTGGGTGAGATGAAATGAAAAGGTGAGATGGATGTGTAATGTGACATTGAGAACTAACCAGGCAGCTGAGTATTGAGAGTATTGGTAAGGTTTTGCATACAGGCAGGCTCATGGTTTGGACATGTGGAAAAAATGGAGGAGATCTACTGGGTCAAGAGATGCATGAGTTTGAATGTGGAGGGGAAGAGAACTGGAGGTAGGCCAAGGATCACATGTGAAGAGGTTGTAAGAAATGACCATAGGGATATGAACCTGACCAATGATGCTGCAAAAGACCATGCAGCATTGAGAACTGCCATCAAGTAATAACGGCTAACCCACACAAGCATGAAAAATGGCTATAAAACTTTGATGCTGATGATGAAGTCCATTTCTGCCATCGGTGACTGAAACACAGCAACACAGACTCACTGTCTCTGGATTTTGTTCTTTTTTGACACTTGATCAGATGGTGTTCCTTCTGGCTTACCCACAATGTTTAATGCACCTTTCTGTATTATTGTTTTTAACTATATTTTTTTAATTTTTCTGTATTATAACTATTTTTGTTCAGCTTACTGTATTGTTGAATTTGTAACTTCATTGTTGCTCACCAGATGCATCATACGGCGCACCAATGAGATCCTCTCCAAGTACCTGCCAGTGAAGGTAGAACATGTGGTGTGTTGTCCGATGACCTCACTCCAACAAGATATGTACCTCAAGTTCATCAACTCTGCCTCAGTGAAGAGAGAGATTACAGGTAAAATCAGTGGCCACTACCTGACATAATCAACCCCTTGTATATGGGGCCCCTTCTGAGCTGAATGAAATTGTGTGGTGCTAGCTAAATAAGATATTAAAAGTGGCATCCCTGTAGTGAAGGAGTTAAGATTTCACATTATGATGCCAGGGTACATTAACATGCTGTCAGTTAATCAGTCAATCAATACTTCTTTTTCTACAGGCTCTGATGGTCGATTGGGGAACACTGCTCTAGCTGCAATAACTAGTATGAAAAAGTTATGCAACCATCCCGATTTGTTGTGGGATAAGGTGAAAGCCCGTGAGCCTGGATATGTGGAGTTGGACGACTTGTACCCTTCAGGACACGACCCCAAGTCAGTACCTCCACTAGCTGCAGTAGTTCTGCCTCAGTGTTGATAGTTTTTGGGGATCTTGATGTCTTTGGGTAAGAAAATTATTTTATTGTGAAGTGGTGAATTTCTGCAGTATTTGTTTAATTTGGTCTTGTCATTACAGACGCTTGCGTCCCGAGTTGTCCGGTAAAGTGTCTGTTCTGGATACACTTCTGGCATTGATTCGAAGCTCATCAGACGACAGGGTTGTTCTCATCTCCAACTACACACAAACTCTTGATCTGTTCCAGGAGTTGGCTGCCCTCAGGAATTATCCTTATGTTCGTCTGGATGGATCCATGTCTATTAAAAAGAGAGCCAAGGTAACAGATCCTACAGTGTTTGTTTTTTATTACATTTATAATACTGTATCGGGTAGTCTTTTTCTATTACTGTATTTTTGCTTCTCTTGTTAACCAAAAAAGATACACCACACCCTCATTAATTCAACAAAAAGAAGGGTCTGGGTCACTCAAATTACCCCAAAATCGGAATTAACCGAGTTCGGAATATTTTGACATTATTTCACATTTTCCTAATTTTTGTGTTCAATTATTCATTTGTTTTCAGTTCAGTTTTTGCACCTTGCCATGCCTTTGCTGCCACATAAACTAAATTATTTATAATTATACTGTGCAAGCAAACAAATATTTTTTCAAGTACACATACAGTAATAATAAAGTAAATACAGTACAGTACAGTCGGCCCTTCACATACGCGGGTTTACCATTCACGGATTCGCAAATACGCAGATTGCCCCGCCAGAGGAATATTCTGTACTTTGAAGTAATTGAAGTACATTCAAATCGCGCGCCATTCAACTCGCGCGCGGCACCGAACACGGGACACCGCTCGCTCCCGCAACCTCACACACACACGCATAGCTCTCCCTCACTCAGTCAGTCTCGCTGTAACCACACTTGTGTTGGCATCAGCATTGTAGTTGCAAAAATATTACATTTCCGTGAATGTATTATGTCAAGCACAGTATGAATAGAATATCACTAATATAAGAGTATTTTAACCGAAAACTACTAAAAAAACGAGTAACATCTCTTGAACTTCAGAAGGTTAGGTAAAGTCTCTTGTTTTCGTCATGTATTTTATCCTAATTTACATTGAAATACATCGCGTTTCAGCAAAAGTACTATTTATTTCTGAGAATATGGAAATGTAATATTTTGCTGAAATGACGTACGTATTACAGTGGAAAGTGACGAAAGCAATGACTCGCTTTCTTTCGCTCAAAAGATGTTACCGTAATCGCTTTTCGAATGGTTTTCAGTTAAAAAACTGTTGTATTACAATAATATTCTATCCTAATTCACTTGTGATGCAACAGTTTTTTAACTGAAAACCATTCGAAAAGCGATTACGGTAACATCTTTTGAACGAAAGAAAGCGAAAGTCATTGTTTTCATCACGATTTTGTCCCACATTCCACTGTAATACTTACGTCATTTCAGCAAAAATATTTCATTTCTGTGAATGTAGTATATCAAGCACAGTATGAATATAATATCATTGTAATATAACAGTATTTTAACCGAAAACTATTAAAAAAACGAGTAACATCTCTTGAACATTGGAAGGTTTGGTGAAGTCTTTTGTTTTCGTCATGTATTTTATCCTATTTTACATTGAAATACATCACGTTTCAGCAAAATTACTATTTATTTCCAAGAATATATTCATTCAGGCGCAGTTTAGGTAAAATATACGTGTGATGTAACATTTCTTTAATTGAAAACGATTCGAAAAACACGTACCCTCTAGCCCTGTTCAAGGAGAGGACTGGGAGAAGCTGTTTGGTGCTGCAGACGATGGCAAGGAAAATGATTTGGATGGATTTTAATGAAAATATTCAGAAATATGGTATCGTAGTATTTATTCAAGTCAATTAGGATAGAATATTATTGTAATACAACAGTAGTGACGATGTGGAGGAGGCGGAGGGATAGAGCGGGGTGGAGGTGACTGGCGGGAGCAGGGACGAGTGGAGATGCCAGCCAGTACATTACGGGTGTATTAATTGTTTTTATAGCTATTTTTGCATTTTAATGTTAAATACTGTACATTACATTTCAACAAAACTACCATTTATTTCTGAGAACATGGAAACGTAATATTTTTGCTGAAATGATGTACGTATTACAGTGGAAAGTGACGAAAGCAATGACTTTCGCTTTCTTTCGTTCAAAAGATGTTACCGTAATCGCTTTTCGAATGGTTTTCAGTTGTGGGATTATAAGGCTAATGATAGGATAGAATATTATTGTAATACAGTACGAGTACAACAGTTTTTTAACTGAAAACCATTCGAAAAGCGATTACGGTAAAATATTTTGAACAACGAAAGAAAGCGAAAGTCTTTCGTCATGATTTTATCCCACTTCCCACTATAATATGTACGTCATTCCAGCAAAAATATTACATTTCCATATTTATTTCCGAGAATATATTCATTCAGTCACAGTTAAGGTAAAATATACTTGTGATGTAATATTTTAATGAAAATCCAGTATCATAGTTTTCTCTTGTTTCAAATTTAATTAACAAAGATTGATGTTTCAAATGTAATGAACAAAAATTTATGTCCAGTATCTATAAATTAACTTTAATAAATGAATACTTTGTTTTACATCGTCCTGTGCTACCATACCATGGATTTGGCTACTTTGGGCTCGCAAGAGATCTGCCCTGGCAACTGTACCGACACTCACAGCTGGTGGTGTGTTGGTGCATCGTTTCCATTGTTTACTGGTAGTTACTGGTAAATATTTTTCAACCTAACGAAACTATTACCCGTTTAGAGGTCGACCCCCAATTTTTGCCAAATAATTTGGTCTTAAAAACTCGAACTACACACAGGTATATACGGTAAATAAGGACATGGGGGACCAGGGATTTTTTAGGGAGGGGGGGGCAGCAATAGTACACAGATTTTTAACATTCACGGGTATCTCTGTTACCTAACCCCCGCGAATGTTAAGGGCCGACTGTACTACTACAGTAATAAATAAATGTAACACACTACGAGATGAGCTGATGAGGCGAGAGGTGAGATGATGAGGCGAAAGGTGATGTGACGAGGAACTTCACAGCACTGTTAAACCATTGTCTTAAACATTTTAATTTGTAATTTCTATTTTAAAATTAATTTATACAGTATGTGATGGCTTAATTTAGCTACTTTTGTATTTGAACAACTGATCAGAGAATAAACCATGGCATATGGAGACGCATTACACACTACAATTTTATTAAGTTCTGATAAATACGCTATAAAATTTCCTTTTAAGTGCTCAAGACAGATCCTCTGGTAAGCACCAACCCTCTTGAGCAGTGACAAAAACAGTGCTGGCAACATTGCTAGGGAGAGCAGAAATGATCAGCTGTGTACCGCTTTGTAAATGAGACCGGTAAGATACTGTGCGCAATAGCTCATCTGGGATTGAACGGTGGATTTTGGGGGGAAATTTATTTATTTTTCGATAATGTTTTATTAACCCGGCACCAAATGAACCTAAATAATATGGGAATTATGGTGAAATTGCATACTATCATTATTAAAGGATCACGGGCTGCTGAGCACGCGAGGTGGTAAGTTGTACTCTCAGTCTAGCCAGCACTTCATCACTCTTCCTCCACTACCTCCTCTCCCTGGCTATGCACTCAAACATAATTTAGTTTTATATCATAATACAGTATAATTCATATTTTATTCCTATAATTCATTCATCTTAACCTATTTCATAATATATATGTATAATAATCGTCCATGTGGGATGGCAAAAACGAAAAAGACAATACAATCGACTAAGTGGGATGACACCTGAGAGCACAGTTGAATTGACAAGATTGAAATTTCAAGTCTGTCTCTGCGGGGCTTTTCGGAACTGCTCTGTTATTTTGGATTCATTCCGAATCAAAATTGTTTAATTTATTTTTTAAAAACATATGAATTAAGTCAAAATCCAAATCATAACGATCCAAATTAATGCGGGTACAGTGTATAGAACCTAGTGTTGTGAGTAGGACAGTGGCCCACATCTTGAAGACAGAGTATAATTCAGTATTACAGTATATTCTATTATTCATTCTCAACAGATTGTGGACCAGTTTAATGATCCAGCAGGAAGGGATTTTATCTTCATGTTGAGCAGTAAAGCAGGCGGCTGTGGTCTTAACCTTATAGGAGCCAACCGTCTGGTAATGTTTGACCCTGACTGGAACCCTGCTAATGATGACCAGGCCATGGCCAGAGTGTGGCGCGATGGCCAGAAGAAGAAATGCTTCATATATCGACTCCTTGCAGTACGTACTGTCTGTAACTGTGAACATTAATTTGATTAGTAAGCTTAAATTATCATCCATTATTATCAAAATTGCTGCTGGAAATGTAATTTTGGGGAGAGATTTTTATACATGAAGACCCTGAATTTTTTCTGGTCAGTCAGTATGTTAAATGGCTTTGTTATATGTGTTGTTTTATTAGGTACAGTGACTTCATCATGTTATGACCCCCAGTAAAGGAACAGAACATAATTGTTTTAGTTTGTGGAAGACTTACAAAGTGACTAAACAAAACTGAAATTAGGTTAATGAATTCCAAATAATTTTTTTTCCAATTCCCAGTGAAGATTTTTCTTCTTAATAATTAAATAATAAATAATTTAATCACCATATCATATGTACATGCCAAAGTTTGTGCATCTATTCACATTGTTGTTCTAGAAAGGGACCTTAACCATGAAAAGATGTATTTGAAAGAGTAAAGATCTTTTTTTAAATTTAATTATTAGATTTTGGCTGAAAATTCATCATCAATATATTATTCTCAGACTGGAAGCATAGAGGAGAAGATCTTCCAGCGTCAGGCCCACAAGAAGGCACTGAGCAGCTGTGTAGTGGACTGTGAGGAAGACGTTCAGCGCCACTTCTCCATCTCAGATCTTCGGGGGCTTTTTATACTCAATCAAAACACGACTTCTGACACTCATGACAAGTAAGAGGAATAATATTATTAAACCCTCTCATGGTCTTTTGACTCAGATTTTGTCACTAAGCGCACCCATAAGCGACCACTCCCACTCAGCCGTATCTCACACTGAGAGCAACCCTCCCATAAACAGCCCACTAGCCTTCTGGACTGGCAGATGTGTCTCTAAGGATGCATTTTGCATCTGGATCACTGTCCCAAATGTTTACTAAAATGGAAACACCGTTCCTATTACAGATGCACCCTGCATTGAAAGACCACGAGGGGTTAAGATTTCCAACCCTGGCCAGGATTGCCAGAGGGTTAAAGTACAATGTTTTAATGTCATGTACTGTATTATGTCCACTTGTTTACATGAATACTTTTATAGTGTAACTCCTGTAAATGTTAAGTATGTTTGTGCCTTGACTAATAAATTCTTCCGTGGTGAACACGTTTGAAGAATAGAAGTTACCAGTTCTTGAAGAGCTTGATTCATTATCTTACACCTTAAATGTTTTCATGTTACTGTATTAGTTTCATTACTGTATATGTGTGTGTGCCTCATACAGTTGCATTTGTAGGAATCTTTTTCTTTTTAAATAAAACATATGTGAAGGTTCCAAGTGTTCCCTGAAGAATGCTGTGATGGGCAGGGAAACACCGGGTAACACTGAAGTCCATTTATTCGGATAGGAGAAATACAAGTGGTGACTAACGTGTGCCATGCACGGCTCACGAAGTCAGACTGAGACTGCCTTGCCATATGGCAGCCTCGGGACAATGTTGCCACATAACACGTGCAGTGTTGCCACATAATTATATACATAGATGCTACTCGGCACAGTAGCTTATATACAAGGTTGCTACTCAGCACAGTAGCTTAGATACATAACCTATATCTCCCTCCCCCCTCACGCTCAGTCATTGTCTTGAGCGGACTTCTTAGTCCTAAGTCGCTCCGAGCGTCGAGGTGCACTGTGGGGCGGATCCTCGTGAGGTGTAGGGGACTCGTCCTCGGTCAGGGGGCCAGCAGCAGGGGGTGGGACTGGCCGGAGGAAGCGGCGGTTCTTCCACCAGACACGGCCGCTCGGCATCCTGACCTTGTAGTCCCGCGACCGGCCGACGCCCATCACTATGCCCACCTTGTCCCAACGTGTTGTCGTTGGGTCTTGAACGCGGACAAGGGCACCAATCTCCAGTGGCTGAAGAGGGCGGGCACGGTCGTCATACCGAGCCTTGGCGTCCTGGGCACGTGTAGCGGCGCGGCGGTCGCGGCTCTCGGCTCTGGTCTGCCACTCCTTCGCAAAGGCCTTGGTGTGTGCAGGAACGCAAGAGCGGAGAGGGTGACCATACAGGATCTGGGCAGGGGAGCGTCCTGTGTGGGTGAGAGTATTACGTAACTCCAGGAGTCTTTTGTCAAACGCCTCACAGCTCGATGGTAGCGTAGCGAGACTCAGCATCGGTGAGAAAGCGAGAGCCACACTGTACGAGCCGGTACCTTCCTCCACCGTAATCCTGGAGAAGGGCGTAACCAACCCCGTACAGGCGCAAGGCATCTGTCTGAAGGACGGTGGGGAGCGCTGGGTCGAAAGTAGGGAGGATAGGTGGACTTGACAGGGCCTCCTTCACCTTATGAAAGGCGAGGTCATGGTCAGGGGTCCACGTGAAAGTCCTCTTGGGGCTCATCAGGGGGCGGAGAGGCCCGGCGGAGACGTCAGGAGAAAATTCTGCCAGCTGGTTCACCAGGCCCATGAAAGACCTGAGATCCATAAGGTTGACAGGTTTTGCAAAGTCCGCTATGGCGCAAACTTTCTCTGGGTCCGCAGCAATGCCATCCCTTGAGAGTCGGTAGCCACAGAAAGACACTGCAGGTGTGGCCAAGACGAACTTCTCGGCATTCAGAGTGATGCCGTGCGTCCTACACCTGGTCAGTACCTCGTCGATGCGGCGAAGATGCGTCACGTAGTCCTCATCGTAGAGGAGGACGTCATCCACTACCTTCACGCAGTTGGTCACGCCTTGAAGTGCCATGTCACCACGGAGACAGAAGGCGTCCCCCGTAGCAGCGAATCCCATAGGGGCACGGCAGTAGCGGAAGGATCCGTAAGGCGTAATGAAAGTGGTCAGTGGTTGATCCTCCTTCTTCAGTGGGATCTGCCAGTAACCACAGAGGGCGTCCATTGTCGAGAAGTGCCGTACCTTCGCGTCCACACTCCGTATAGCTCCAAAAGGTGTGGGTGAAGGGTGGGCGCGACGGGACACCTGGCTGTTAAGCTTAGACAAGTCAGTAGTAATCCACACTCCACCGTTAGTCTTAGCCACAGCGACTAGAGGGTGGCACCAAGGGGACGGGTCGTCACCAACGGGTACGATGACACCCTGGGCCACCATGGAATCCAGTTCCTTCTTGACTGAATCCCTGAAGGCGAGAGGGATCAACCGGGGAGTGTTATGGCAAACGGCTGTGCATCTTCCCGCAGGTGTATCCTCATAGGCGGACCCGCCATAGCCTTCAGTGGCGCGGTCCGTAGGGCCTCCTTCGTCACCAGCACATCCGAGTACTCCTTCAGGAAGTAGGCCCTTGCGGCTGAAGTAGACGTCTCGCTGTGAAGAGGAAGCAGCCATGACTTGGGTGGAGGCGGGGCGGGAGTGGACGCGGGTTCTGGGCAGCTCTGTGTGGCAGCGCCAGGCGCGTCGCTCGTTGATTCCCGCACCCTGCTGGCGGTGTACCAAGCAGCTGGGATCTGCTCAGGAAAGTCTCTGGGCACCACGCCTAACTCCTTGCAGTGCTCCCACGACAACAAGGGTGTAGCAAGAGTAGGCTGCACGTCGATCCATCTGTGACACAACCTGTCGCCGTAAGTGATCTCCGCTTGAAAGGAGCCCACAGCGTCCGGCATCTGGGAACCGTCCGCATTGTAGTACTGCAGCTGCGGCGGTGGTCCCAGGCCGCGTTTGGTGAGGCCCAGTTTCTGGAGGTGCTTCAGGCCTTTCACCGTAGTATCAGCGCCAGTGTCCGGTATCACCTCGATGTGACCCGACACATCACCGTTTGTGACGGCAATGCGGATGGTAGGGGAAGGGGTAGCCCTGGGGCGTGTGGTCGATTCCACCCTCCTGATGTGACTCAGCTGCTGCTTGGGGATGCGTGGGCCATCTGGAGGGGGCTGCGTGCGAACCACCCCGAGGGAAGTGCGCTGCTTTCCTCCTCGTCTCGGGCTTTTGGGCTTGGGTTGACGGCAGCACTTGTCGTAGTGTCCATAGCGACCGCAGGCCTGACACTTGTGGCCTCGTGCAGGGCACCTGTCTGTGTTAGACCAGTGGCCCTTACAGTCACATCCATGACACAATGCGTCGGCGGCCGGGCATATCTTGGGGCCATGCTGCTTTCCACAGCTGCCACAGGAAGCACTAGGCGGAGGCGTGGAAGAACGTGCGGCAGCCTTCACGTTGTTGGCCGCCTTCTTACCCTTCTTGTACTGAGAGATTGCTCTCACAGCAGGTGGGGCTTGTAAGGCAGAGGTGGCGGACTTGGTGGCCTCGTATGACCGACATTCAGTTACTACCACCTGGAGTGTGGAGGAAGCGTCCAGTGGGATGAGTCGCTGCACCAACTCTTCTTGCCTGACACCTGCCAAGATCCCGTGCTTGATCCAGGCTTCCTCACATTCCCGGCTGTGCGCCTTGCAAACGTCAATCTCCTCCGACAAACTCTTCAAGCATACAAAAAAGTCGTCAAAGGATTCATTCTCCGCCTGCTTGCAGCTGGTGATGGAGCGGCGACGCAATGCCTCGTTATTCCGACCCTTAACGTGCTCCTGCAAAAGGTCGAGCACATCCATCACTGAAGGGGTAGAATCGGGAGGCACCTGCAACGTGTGCTCCAAAACTCTCTGGGTCTCCAGCGACAAACACATCCGCAGTTGGATGAGCTGTTTGTTTGGAGGCATGCTGTCAAGGTCCACCATCGTGGAGTAATCTGTCCAACGTCGCCTCCACTCACGAAAAAGCTGAAACGTGACGTCTGGTGAGAGGGCGGGTGGGGGTTGAACAGATGCCTTGGGAGCTGTTGAAGTAGCAAGAATACCTGGAGGACGCTGGTGTGGTGGAGGAGGGAGGATATTGGCGCCTTGGTGCGCGAAACCTGCGAGTGAGGGAGGGTGGGTTAGCGCCAGGGTCACCAATAGTGCATCAAAACGCGACTTTTCCTCCTCTCTTCGTGTCTCCTCCCTCTGAAGTTCCATCTCTCGGGGTCGCTCGTCTCTGTGATCCATCCACCTCAGAATTGTTGCAATGTCCGTCGCTGTAGGTGAAGGATGAGGGGCGGTGGGCGCAGAAGCTCCATCTGTGCCCGGTAGAGGAGATGATGGTGGGGAGTCGTGTCTCCCATCTTGACGCTGTCCCTTCTTACCGCCCATCTTAGTGTGCGTGGACTGCGCTGTTTAGTATATCAAGTGGCGCCTCATCAGCTCGAACCACATATATATATGACATAAACCGCGCAGAAATAATGCATAGAGTCCACTGTTCTGTCCGTGAATGAGAGAGAGAGAGAGTGTGTGTGTGTGTGTGTGTGTGTGTGTGTGTGTGTGTGTGTGTGTGTGTGTGTGTGTGTGTGTGTGTGTGTGTGCGTGCGTGCGTGCGTGCGTGCGTGCGTGCGTGCGCGCGGAGCGAGAAGGGTGTACGCCTGCGTACTCCGTGGGTACCACAAAAAAGAGGCCAATGCTCAACTCTCAGCTCTAGACACACTAATACACTGACACTAACACTGCCACCGTCACTAAAAAGCACTGTGATGGCGCAACACTGCACGTCGCGGCGAAACACAACACAGCACACACTAAGAGTCACGTGCACATCGCCGGCTAACTGTCCATTGTTCACACACTTGTAAGTCCACAGATCCTACTCACTGCGCCATGAAGGTTCCAAGTGTTCCCTGAAGAATGCAGTGATGGGCAGGGAAACACCGGGTAACACTGAAGTCCATTTATTCGGATAGGAGAAATACAAGTGGTGACTAGCGTGTGCCATGCACGGCTCACGAAGTCAGACTTAGACTGCTTTGCCATATGGCAGCCTCGGGGCAATGTTGCCACATAACACGTGCAGTGTTGCCACGTAATTATATACTGTACATAGATGCTACTCGGCACAGTAGCTTATATACAGTTGGCCCTTAACATTCGCGGGGGTTAGGTAACAGAGATACCCGTGAATGTTAAAAATCCGTGTACTATTGCTGCCCCCCCCCCCTAAAAAATCCCTGGCCCCCCATGTCCTTATTTACCGTATATACCAAATTATTTGGCAAAAATTGGGGGTCGACCTCTAAACGGGTAATAGTTTCGTTAGGTTGAAAAATATTTACCAGTAACTACCAGTAAACAATGGAAATGATGCACCAACACACCACCAGCTGTGAGTGTCGGTACAGTTGCCAGGGCAGATCTCTTGCGAGCCCAAAGTAGCCAAATCCATGGTATGGTAGCACAGGACGATGTAAAACAAAGTATTCATTTATTAAAGTTAATTTATAGATACTGGACATAAATTTTTGTTCATTACATTTGAAACATCAATCTTTGTTAATTAAATTTGAAACAAGAGAAAACTACGATACTGGATTTTCATTAAAATATTACATCACAAGTATATTTTACCTTAACTGTGACTGAATGAATATATTCTCGGAAATAAATATGGAAATGTAATATTTTTGCTGGAATGACGTACATATTATAGTGGGAAGTGGGATAAAATCATGACGAAAGACTTTCGCTTTCTTTCGTTGTTCAAAATATTTTACCGTAATCGCTTTTCGAATGGTTTTCAGTTAAAAAACTGTTGTACTCGTACTGTATTACAATAATATTCTATCCTATCATTAGCCTTATAATCCCACAACTGAAAACCATTCGAAAAGCGATTACGGTAACATCTTTTGAACGAAAGAAAGCGAAAGTCATTGCTTTCGTCACTTTCCACTGTAATACGTACATCATTTCAGCAAAAATATTACGTTTCCATGTTCTCAGAAATAAATGGTAGTTTTGTTGAAATGTAATGTACAGTATTTAACATTAAAATGCTAAAATAGCTATAAAAACAATTAATACACCCGTAATGTACTGGCTAGCATCTCCACTCGTCCCTGCTCCCGCCAGTCACCTCCTCCCCGCTCTATCCCTCCGCCTCCTCCACATCGTCACTACTGTTGTATTACAATAATATTCTATCCGAATTGACTTGAATAAATACTACGATACCATATTTCTGAATATTTTCATTAAAATCCATCCAAATCATTTTCCTTGCCATCGTCTGCAGCACCAAACAGCTTCTCCCAGTCCTCTCCTTGAACAGAGCTAGAGGGTACGTGTTTTTCGAATCGTTTTCAATTAAAAAAATGTTACATCACACGTATATTTTACCTAAACTGCGCCTGAATGAATATATTCTTCGAAATAAATAGTAATTTTGCTGAAACGTGATGTATTTCAATGTAAAATAGGATAAAATACATGACGAAAACAAAAGACTTCACCTAACCTTCCAATGTTCAAGAGATGTTACTCGTTTTTTTAATAGTTTTCGGTTAAAATACTGTTATATTACAATGATATTATATTCATACTGTGCTTGATATACTACATTCACAGAAATGAAATATTTTTGCTGAAATGACGTAAGTATTACAGTGGAATGTGGGACAAAATCGTGACGAAAACAATGACTTTCGCTTTCTTTCGTTCAAAAGATGTTACCGTAATCGCTTTTCGAATGGTTTTCAGTTAAAAAACTGTTGCATCACAAGTGAATTAGGATAGAATATTATTGTAATACAACTGTTTTTTAACTGAAAACCATTCAAAAAGCGATTACGGTAACATCTTTTGAGCGAAAGAAAGCGAGTCATTGCTTTCGTCACTTTCCACTGTAATACGTACGTCATTTCAGCAAAATATTACATTTCCATATTCTCAGAAATAAATAGTACTTTTGCTGAAACGTGATGTATTTCAATGTAAATTAGGGTAAAATACATGACGAAAACAAGAGACTTTACCTAACCTTCTGAAGTTCAAGAGATGTTGCTCGTTTTTTTTAGTAGTTTTCTGTTAAAATACTCTAATATTAGTGATATTCTATTCATACTGTGCTTGACATAATACATTCACGGAAATGTAATATTTTTGCAACTACAATGCTGATGCCAACACAAGTGTGGTTACAGCGAGACTGACTGAGTGAGGGAGAGCTATGCGTGTGTGTGTGAGGTTGCGGGAGCGGGCGGTGTCCCGTGTTCGGTGCCGCGCGCGTGTTGAATGGCGCGCGATTTGAATGTACTTCAATTACTTCAAAGTACAGAATATTCCTCTGGCGGGGCAATCCGCGTATTTGCGAATCCGTGAATGCTAAACCCGCGTATGTGAAGGGCCGACTGTACAAGGTTGCTACTCGGCACAGTAGCTTAGATACATAACCTACAATATGAATCAATCTTGGTTTTGAGAATAATTTGATGTTAAGCAAAACTTAACAATATATTGTATTTGTAATGTTATGCATTTATGAATGTATGTATGTACAAGTACCGTGTGCATGTGTGTTTTACTTTGTCCACTAAATACAGGTACAGAGTGGTCAGAGTCACAAGTGCACACACACACACACACACACACATACACATTCTCCAGAGTATATTATATAGAGAGAAATTCTTTACAGGTTTAAGTGTCGTCGCTGTGTGAATGGTATCCAGGTACGACCTCCACCTGATGACGCTGACTGCACTTGTGATTTGTCATTGTGGCACCATTGTCAAGACAAAAAGGGACTGGAGGACTTGATGCTGCGTCAGTGTTGGGCGGCTGGTATCTCTTTTGTCTTCCACCAGAGATCACATGTACAGAAGATAGTACCTTGATGTGTGTTTTATGATTCTGGACTTCATCCATGTGGTAATAGAGTCAAGCTGGTAAGTGAAAATGAAATCTGTGATGGTTGGTAGAAATGATAAAAAGAATTATTGGGTAGAACTGAAGTAGGAATTATAGGTAGAGAGGATTGGTTATCATTTTATAATAAACATCAAGATGGGGTTGATAATTCCCCATTATTGTACTGTACAGTTGCAAACAAAAGTCCTGTCGCCTCTCCTGCTACTCCACGAACACCAATATTCAGACTCGTGAACCCGAAGCAGTAGAAACATGGATGGTTAAGAGTCTGATTCTTGGGGTGTACAAAGTAGCAGGAGAGGCGATAGGACTTCCAACCATAACAGTATATAAATCATCATTCAACATTTTTCATATTCAATACTTATTTGTATCAATAAAATACTGTATCCTCATTTATTTTATCTGTATATTAATACTGAACCAAATAAAGCCATTGATGATGTGACTATAAGCTATTGCTCCCTTCCTCTCTTGTCTATCTGTAAGTCATGAAATAATTGGCATTAACTTGCATTGTATAAGTCTCCCTCAGATGCAAAGCAAATGGGAAGCTATTGCTATTAACTCAAAAAAATATATATATTTCAATCTTTTCTGTGTTCTTAATTGTTTCCATGCTTTTCATTAGTTTTCATTTTCTCTAACATAATCTCTTGATATCAGAATCGAGTTTACGTTTACAATAATTGTAGAACTTTTTTATGATTTAACTTACAAGTTTCAAATTGTAAAGATGGAAACAGTAATGATACTGTTTTGGGGGGACCGTATTTCAGAATAGTACTGTATTTTGGTTACTTGTTAATCTGAGTGATGCATAGAACAGTCACTTTTACAATAATTAAATGAAGTTTGTTTTTCTCTGATGAAAACATAAGATAGACTAGTTATTATGAGACTGATATAAGTTTTATGTGTACAGTATCAGATACTGGTTGTTTCTCTTGTAAAAAAGAAAGTTGAATATTAAAACAAGTGTAATGTTTGTTGTGTACATAATAGATGTTATTTTTAATAAATATTTCATATAATAAAGTGTTTTAATGCTTGTAACATTTACAGGTGGAGATGAGAGTTGGTGTAGAGCATCATTTGGATACTTTGTGGTTTATTGCCCATATCTTAATTAACTTAGTGGAGGGTGTATGAATTTAACACTGACATAATGATAGTTAACTTTGACTTACTGGAAGGAAACTTTAGTTTTGTCTTGTTCTAGTTCTTTATTAATCTTTATTGTGGTAAGTTTTGGTGTGTTTGACCCTCAGTTAGATGAGAAATGTGTTACCTAGCCATGAAAGGTAGGTTGCTGGTAGAGATAATCCTCATATATGGACAGGCCAGGGGAAGGGAGGCCTCACTCATGAAGTCTCCCATGTAAGCTGACCAAAGATCATTGATTTTCTGTGATGGAGAACACGGACATCTGCAGCATGTTATTTAAGAAGTGGGTGAGTAGTCAAATTGCATACGAGTCAGGTGGCATAAAAACCTGGATTAACTACTTTCTCATTAGGAAGTCAGAAGGGAAGCTTGTTAGGGGTGTAAAGGTCATAGTACTGTAAATATATTTTCTCTAAATGTTTAGTAACTAGGCTAATTAGGTAAAAACAGCTATTTCCAAAGTACAGTAGTACTTTATATATCGGAGACTAACCATTTAATTATTTAGTGTGGAGAGAAAAATTAGTGTACCCATACATGTACAGGTAGGCGGGTAGTGTGATTACCTCAGGGAGTTGCGACCCTGCCTTGCCAGCTGTTCTCACCCTGTGTGTTGCTGTTAGGAAGGGCATCCAGCAACAAAACTTTACTTCAACATACCTGATGGCAACTGAGTTATCTGAGGTGTGTCCATCCTCTGGCCTCTGCTGCATTTTCTTGGCTGGTGCCTTGGGTTTATAGTGGTGAGGGGTAGGAACATCCCATTCTGGTTTTACCAACAGCTACCATCAGGTAGTTTATGTGGCTCATATACTTAAACCCTTCTGTGGTTATGCATATTACCTGTGCTCAACATTGGTAATTCTTAGTAAATACCCAGATGCAAATGTCAGTACATAAGCATCACAGTGTGGTGTATATCTTCCAGACACAATACAGTACAGTACTCCCTCTTTATCGACGGATTTTTTATCGGCGGTTTCGATTATCGACGGATTATTTAGCCGGGATTTTTATTTTGGCTTTATTTGAACTCCGCGGGCCTTGTTTGTACTTTCGCCGCTAGGCGGCACTAGTGGCGTGACTAGCGTCTACCCGCGGCCCGCCTTCCCTGAACACAAACATCAGCCAAGCCGAGTGGGCAACAGTCTTTGATTTTCAACTTTTGCTGGTGGTTCATCACATGAACTTATATCACTATGCCTCCCAAACGACCTGCTGCTCCCTCTGGATCTACACCTAAGAGGGCAAGACGAGTGCTGACGCTGAATGAGAAGAATGAAGTGCTGAAACAACTCGACAGCGGTATGAGCTATGCAGCTGTTGGCCGCCACTTTGGGCTCAACGAATCCAGTGTGCGTGGAATTAAACGACGTGCAAAGGATCTGAAGCACGCTTTAGCTTCAAGTGCACCAGTGACATCAAAAGTGACAAGCCATGTGCGTGATGATGCCCTCATTAAAATGGAAAAAGCACTGAACATTTGGATAGAGGACCTAAACCGCCGCCGCATACCACTTGACTCGAAATTTATTAGGCAGAAAGCTAAGGAACTTTATGATAGGTTTTCTAAAAGTGATGATCATGGTGATGGTGATGATCAGGGTGATGGTGATAATCAGGGTGATGGTGACAATTTGAAAAAATTTGCAGCTAGCAAAGGATGGTTTGAGAAATTCAGACATCGTTATGGGCTGCATAATATAAAAGTGACTGGCGAAGCAGCATCAGCAGACACTGTGGCAGGGGAAGCATACCCTGCAGAGTTTGCTAACCACATAGCACAAAAGGGTTATAGGCCGGAACAAGTTTTTAATGCTGATGAGACAGGCCTATGGTGGAAGAAGATGCCACGCCGAACCTACATCTCTAAAGAGGAAAAAAGTGCCCCTGGATTTAAAGTTGCGAAGGACCGAGTGACAGTGATGCTATGTGGGAATGCGGCAGGGCATATGATTAAGCCCATGTTGTTATACACTGCCGCACGACCTCGGGCTCTCAAAAATAAAAACATGAACTTGCTACCAGTTTTCTACAGGAACAACAAGAAAGCGTGGATGACATCTGATTTGTGCGTGGATTGGCTGAAAAACTGCTTTGCTAGAGAGGTGAAAAATTATCTGGATGAACTTGGCATGGAGTTCAAAGTAGTATTATGTCTAGATAATTGCCCTGGCCACTCTGAAGAACTCAAGACTGCCCACCCCAACATTGAGGTGGTTTTCCTGCCAAAAAACACCACCTCCATCATCCAGCCAATGGACCAGGGAGTCATTGTCGTGTTTAAGGCTAAATATGCAGAGAAGACTTTCAGCATGATTCGTGAGTGCCTTGATAAGGATGCTGATGTGACACCCAGAGAAATGTGGAAGAAATTTGATATTGCACAGTGCATAAACTTCATCGCTGAAAGCCACAATGAACTGTCGCAGAACTGTGTCCGATCATGTTGGAAAAAATTGTGGCCTGAAATTGTCCCAACATTCACAGGGTTCCCAACAGCCGAGCCTCAGTTACGCAACATAATAACTATGGCAAATGAAGTTGGAGGTGAAGGGTTCTCTGACCTAACAGCGGCAGAGGTGCAAGAAGAGTTATTGGGAAATGTTGGGGATCCATTTACAAGTGATGAACTAGAACAATTAGTGGAGCTGCAGGATGAAACAGACGATGAAGTGAGTGATGATGAAAATAAGAACTTAACTTTAGATAATCTTGGTGAAGTGATAAGAATGAGTAAGGCCCTCTCTGCTCGTCTCTATGACATTGATCCCTCCCTTGATAGGTCCCTTAAAGCAAAGAGAGCTATTGAAAATGTTATGTTGCCATATATAGAACTGCAGGGGGAAATGAGAAGCAAGAAAGCACAGACCACCATCACCAACTTCTTCAGTCGCCGAGTGCCTGTCATCGCCGAACCTGCCGACACCTCACAACAACAACAAGACGTAGAAGCTGCCGGCACCTCACAACAATAAGACGCAGTACCTGCCCACACCCCTCAAGAAGATGCAGACCTTGACTAATCATACTCATCTGACTGGTCAGGCTTTTAATAAGCCTCAATCATCACACTTGTATATACTGTATATACTGTATTGTTTACTGTAAGGACCGATGTTCACTTCAATAAATTAAATGGTAAGTTTGCTAGTATTTTTGTCCACTTATTATATTATTATTTATACACTATTATTTAAGGTTATGTGTAAAGGAAACGCATTAATGCTTAAAGGTACATTTATTCAACATATGCTAATAATAGTTAGAAAAATTACATAACCATCACGGTATCGAC